TTCAAGCAGCTGAACTGAGACGTCTTCAGATGTTCGACAATTGTTGTTTACGACCATAGCTCGTGTGGGTGGATGTCGGCGTGTCCGTAACGAAGCAATAAGAAAGCGAGCTTTCGGTTGTGCAGTGGAGACTTCCATCAAAGTGTGTTTCTAGCACAAAAAGCTGTGTTGGTTAGGTCGCGTTTGCCGAAGAGAGTGCCGTTTTCCGTGCCAAATACAGAATAGCAGAAACACAGATGTTACCAGCCCGTGACCTGAAAAAGCTGCGTTGGCTAGGTCGCGTTTGCCGAAGAGAGTGCCGTTTTCCGTGCCAAATACAGAATAGCAGAAACACAGATGTTGCCAGCCCGTGACCTGGCGGGAAGGTATAAAAGAGATTAAGAAACGTTTGGGTGCTCTCGGATTCTATTCACCTTCCTGGATGGGGACCGCGTGATCCTCTCTGAGCCTGGCTAAAGACGCTGCAAGATATGACTGATAATCAGTGTCAGTGGCGTTCTTGCTGTCAGTTTCTATCCAGCTTGCCTTAATGAATGTCTGGAGGTTTCGTAAGCCAGCACAGAGTCCTTCCCCCGACCGCTTTTATTTTTCTGAATTATGAGGCTCTCAAATAAATCATGGTTTTATGGCAGCAAAGCATTTGGTTTAAACACTGATGTCATGCTGTCGATGATGACTATGAGCTACAGAGCTACCACGTCAAAGGTTGTGATACGGTAAAGGCGAAGCATTCTCGAGATTTATAAATAGTGGAAGCGTATTTCATATGCATTTTTGAATGACTGAAGGCGAAGTTTTGCATGTTTCACGTATCCATCTGTGTGCAGCGTAGATAAGACTGGGGCGGAAGCAGACAGGACTAATTACACGTGCGCGTTTATCTTTCCAGAATTCTCAGTACTTAGATGGACACAGTTTTTCGCACTGCAGATTGACTTAATAGTGCCCAGACTGTTTGTTGCGGTTATAAAATGAATGTGATATTTCATAGGCTGTAGAAGTTCTTCATTCACGGTCAGATGAAATACCACCTAGGAGGGGTGATTGTATGCCTAAAGCAAGAAAAAATTTAATTACGCTCCGTATATTATCCGCCACTGTCCTGTGCAGTGTCCCATCTCTAGCGCACGGCTGTACCCTCCGAAGGCGGATTCTTACATCCACACCGGGTACGAAACAATAACAACCAACTAAGTATGAAATCTGGTGATCTATATTTTGTAGTAGCACTCCTGGCTTCAAGTAACCAATAAACGAGCAGAACGGTGCAACTTTGGTAACCTTCTCATTTAACGACGTTCGGATAAATTTTATAAAATTTTCGATGAACACATTGAAGTGGAATTTCAAGTGGTTCATAACTCTGTAAGTTTAAATGGAGGCCATGACTGTGATTAAATAGTGGATTGTGTGTCTAGGATTTTTAGTTTTCTTCCGCGAAAATAGATTACTCGAATTGTTCAGTTTGCTCTCCTAACATCATGATGCATAAGTTCATCCGTAAGCTCGGATATATTATGTATATTATTGTATATTGCGCAAATACGTATCCGAAACTTTCGGACCACTAAGGGTAATGTGGTTCAGAAAACTGTATGAGGCCTCGGCAAAACGCAGATGCTCTTGGAGAGAAGTCAGGGAAATGTGGATTTATTTGTGAAACATCATGCTCAACACACCGTTGTCAGAATGATTTTTTGTGGAAAGTAGTGCCCTCTAGAATCCTGAACTTCATGACCCAGTGAATGCAGGCTTGACCTGATATAATGAAGTTGAGTAAACAGAATAACCTTGGCGGTTCAATACGTGGACTGTGCTGCGCACAAGTGGGTCAAATAAATATTTATGTAATGTAAGCAACGAAATATGGCAAGATGCATCAAGCTGCATCATCTTTTTGAAAGATTAAAGCACTTGGGTTTTACAGTTGTATAAATACCCAAGTGTCCATTGCGCACCAGATAACATCAAATGCCCATTGGGTTCCAGGAAAACAGCAGCGTCCTGAAAGGTCAACTAATGGCACTGAAAGACTTCAGCTGTTTTACCATTCGGTGGATGCCAGTTGTACCAACTTAGAGGTCCAGTTGCGCATGTGTGAGCTGGCTTCTAGTTAGCCCAGCTGGCAGGTGACGTTTCCGGAAGCCGTGGCCCGGATAGATTAAATGTATTTGAGCTAAAATTCAGTTCAATCAACGATTAAAATGTGATTAGGATCCCTATGCTGTCATATAAATAAGCTCCCCTAGATTCAGAATAATAAGACTCCCGCAATTGACGGACCAGGCATCTAGCGTCTCATGAGTACCCTTTAGTCAAGGTAGCTGGATTATCACCATTGTCTCCAACATCAATATCATCAACATCCTCATTGGGGATAGTCTCCATCATCACCGTCATCTTCATCCTTATTACTTTCATGATTGTCACCGCTGCCGTCTTTACGATCATCATCAGCAGCAGAAGCAGCTACAACAACAAGAAAGCAGCAGAAGCATCGACAAGGCCGAAATTTATACAAATTCCTGTCAGGACTTCCCAGTCATGCAACGTCACAGACCCTTGAAACCGGCTGGACAACCTTTGTTGATGCATATGGGGGTTTTTGCAGGAGATGTATTGTTCAGTTTCACATCACTCGTTATGAACATTAATAATTGTGGCAGGACAGGAGGACGACTGTTCAAGACGAGAGTGATGTGAAACTGAACAAATCACTGTATGAAAACAATGCAACCCCCAACAACTTTTATGGTAAAGACTACCACCTACTCGTGAGTAGTTCAATACTTTCCAAGTTTCTACAGTGAATTATGTCTGATGGTCGAAATTCCTAATAGACAGATTTGACACAGAGTAAACAGCTCTGCGGTCTCTGCCTAACGTGCTTCTCATAACGTTGCAGAAGCTTATTCGGCAGCCCACTGCTGGTGTGGCCTTTCTTGAGGCTTATCGACTAGGTGTATCCCCTGAACGCCACCAAACATACGTTCCTAGTGAACACAAAACGATACACAAGTGGCGAAAAGCAGTTTTGTGTTGATAGGAGGCTCAATCGGACCTGTCGCTTGTGATATTTCTCAGATAACTGTGCTGCTTATCAAATAAGCTTGAAAATGTTCACATTCCATGAACTGTGTACCATTTTATGTTCGAGTAGAGCGTAGAGATTATAGAAGCCCGAGGACTAGGTTTAACTGATAACACTCAAGAAGGGCTAAACCGGTAGAGGACTTTCGAAGAATTTTCAGCAGCCCTATGAATAGCGTGCCGAAACAATACACTTTGAAATCTCAAGAAACGACACTTATGCAGTAAATCCAGTTGTGGAATATCACTGACAAGAGACTCGCCTGGGACTCAGTTACTAGCAGAGCTACGCAGCACTTCGTATTTTCTCCAACCAGGATATAGATTTATCCTGATGATATTTACCGCCCGATATAGCAGAGCTTTCGTCGCCCATCACTCCGACAAAATTGCACCGTCCGGCCATTCTGTAGATCCACGTGACATCCAAGGTTTGGCTGCTCCATTGTTGACCTTTCATAAACAAGATAACACGTCTTCGCAACAACCAATCGAAAATTTCCATTTCAGTCCCTCTGAACAAAGGCTATTAGAGGACCAATTTGGGGATGGCATCAAATTGAGGCACGCAAATAGTTGTTTAACATTATACGTATGTTCATGCATATTAGCTGGCCCAGAGTCTCCCGTCTACTAACGATCATCTCCTCATATCCGGTCTGTTACGATTAAAGATCGGAGTAGGGAACATCTTTTTTAACAAGCCCAAAGGCTATATACTCAGCTAGTGGATCAGCTTACAGCGTGACTTCTGCACTGCGAAAGATGGCCTTGATGGATGAATAGCTGAATGGAGAGAAAAAGTCCGGTAAATTACCTTCTTTAGTCGCCAGCTTTGTTGGTGGTTAGTTAAGGCGAAGAGGGCTGTTGAAACAAGCGCAGTATGAATACACATTCCTACTTTGGTTACAATTCATTGCAAACTTGAAGGGTGTACGCTTAATCCTTTGGTTGACTTGATCTGATGATAGGGCTAAACCAGACGAATGATACTCACATGTATTTTCTGTCCAGCCTCAGTGATAAACGATAGGTCCTCAAAGCTTTGTGGACGAATCCATTGATGGAACCGTGCTTCCGCTGTTTATACCTGGATCTATTGTAGGTGATCAGGCATGGAGTCCTGAAGCCATACATGGCAGTGATGATGATGATGGTGGTGTCGATGATGGTGGTGTTGATGACGATGATGATGATGATGATGATGATGATGATGATGATGATGATGATGATGATGGTAGGAAATCCAGCGAAGAAGTTTCCGAGGTACCTAACACCCTCCAAACCGTGGTGAGTGAAGCAACGCGCTTCAAGCTGAAGACAGTTGGTTTGAATCATTCGACTTGTCGTGCTCTTTCTAGCCTATAGCTCTTCGACTGTGAAACCAGTTGTTTTCAAAGTGAACTTTGGAACATGTGGGCGGCTGGAAATTTCCATAGGAGAGATTGGAACTGATCGCTTTCTTTTGTCTCATCGAAATAGGTGGCATACCTGTGACTTTTCAAAATCTGAACTGTACCTGTTACAACACTGGGCTTCTGGAAAAATACTACTGTGCCCCATTTTAACAGTTTGATTTATCACGTCGATCATGCAGCACATTTTAGTTGTAAACGATTGCCTCAGAAAAGTGAATTTTGTATGCGGTTTCGTATGCGGTCTCGTTTGACAAATTAAAAGTGCCCCAACAAGACAACCAAGTTACTTCTTCAATTTCAGGCAATGAACAACAGGGGAACATGTCGTGTTCACTGCTGTTGGGGCAATGGGAACCCGCCGTTAAAAAAGTTATATCAGACGTATGACGAGAGCACAGGAAAAGGGAAACTCTCAAAGAATGGACCCTCTGTATAAAGTGGCTTTAGTTTTCGTCACGTGTACGTAAATTTATAGAAACAGTAGACATTTCGTTGAAATTTTGGAGCATTAGACCGAAATTTCATCTGCTTGATTACTTGAAATCTACCTTATAGAAACTGTCCCCCAGTAGTCATTGTTACTGTCATTTTTAGATGGCATCGAAAATAGATCTCTGGAGAGGTGGTGAGATTTGTGGTTGGGGACATTTGGTTGACAACCCCTTGAAAATGGACCTTATGCCGGAGAAGAAAATGTCAACCAAATAACGAAATAGTCTATTCTTTAGACGCTACTTTGGACGTTATAGCGCATTTCTCTATACGTAGATGTTGTACGACTCTCCTCTAACCAACTACCTAACGGTTGTGCCCTGCTCTTGTTCGATGCGTTTTTGAATCCTCAATAACAAACCAATCTACTTGTTGTCGTGGAGTAGTATGACATGGGAGATATGGACCATACTGTGCATTAGAAGGCAACAAAAGGTACCATTTCTCTGTTTTTTTAATAACCTTTCTGTCGAACGGCCTAGGTGACATTCTGTAGGTGTGAGGAAATATGGCACTGGCTCCTCACTTCGTAATGGCTCCATTCGCGTTGATTCGAAATAGCTGTGGAGAGAGACACCATTTCAGAGAAGAGTCCAGCGCACGTGTACAGGAATGAAGGGCCCAGATCGATGGTGATGAGATATCGATTATGTACTGCATATAGCCATTTTTGGGGACTTTAGAGTAGATTTCCAGGTCACAGCGGAATCGATCGCATATCGCACGTATTCGACGATCTGTCGGATCAGCCAGAACCTTATCGATGCCATGAAAATCTTTGAGGAAAAATCGATGCTTGAACGGATCACGTGGTTGACTGGAATAAAAGATACTTGTGTTTGATACATTACAATCAACTTTGCCATGTTTTCGTATGTCGGTCTGACTGCCTGATCGTGATCGTTTACCGGGACTGTTACTTTCCTTGATCAGAACAGTTTTGGTTCTTGGTGAGACCCTGGGTGGTGGCCGTGGTTTTTGACAGGGTGAGGAACAGTCATGAGAAATTGGTTGTAGGTTGCAAAAACCTGACAAACTTTGTAACGCATCAACTTGACTTGTTCTGTGTTGCATGGCACAATGACCAGGCAATGCGTGTGAACAAGAAATTTCTTTTGAATCGCATGAATCAGGATGCGTTGGTGACGTGACTCCTATTAGATGGTGATTTATGCTTGGCACACAACTGTCTGACATCCCGGATTGTTTATTACATTCATGAAATTCTGCACTGAGTGGTACAGAGGACAATTTCTTGGTATTTGCAAGTATGCGTTCTGAATGGCGCTGCCTGGGCCATCTATCCCTGAACGTTTGCGTATTGCACACAAAAGGATTTATTTCAAACATCGGCGAACAGGATATATCTCTCAAACAAGAGTACTCTTCCTGGATAGAAATCGATCCTGGTCTAGGTTGGTTCGTTTTTGGATGGCCCATTTGAACATCATGATGGGAACCAATCACGGGTAATTCGGTCGCGTTGTACGAAGTGTTCGCAGCGAGCATGAGCGGCGAGTAGGTTTGATTGGTCTGTTCAACCACGGGAGAACTCGGAGTCGTCTGACGGATCAGAGACGGCGAATACGCAAACCACTTTGTTGGGTTGTAAAAATTTTTCCCTGCATTCACAGCACTTCCATGTCCCTCAGATATTGCGCTGCAGGAATTACTTCGGCTGAGCCGCTCCTTACATTCTGGTTTTAGATTTTCGGGAGACTGTTTGTCATTCTGAAGATACGCAGGTGTTGGTGACTGATTGTGGGACAAGAGGTTTGGAGCTGATTTCGCCCTGTCATGAACAAACAGTCGATCCGTGTCCCCGTTGTTGAGCAAACTTCGAAGGTATAGTTGCTTACATTCCTGGTGATGACAATTTGTTGAGGGTTTGTCAGTCCATCGATTCTTGTATAGAGCCTGTGGCTGATAAGAAAGGGAGCTGTTGTAATTTTGAGTCGTGATTGGTCGGTTTGGATCAGTGAATTTAACAGTCTGGCTTTCATGAAGCAGGTTGATGCTTTGGTCTGCGTCCTGGGATTCTTGCGGTTTTATGGTGGAATGCGTATTGAACTTCAGACATTCCCTTTGTTGGTCATATGCCGTAGGATGACAAACATTAAAAAATTCACTGATATCTCTTCGGGTTTGCTCATTTTGTGAGACGGTATTCGATTGCGGGCGATTGAACTGTGGTCCTATCACAAGAATCTGAGAACCATGGGAAACACGGGGGGTTGAGAATGCAATTCCTTTGGAAATCTCATTTTCAAAATTCTGAATGCACCGACAGAGGACATCACCTTGATAAGGCCTGACAGGGCATGCAAATGGTGATTGTTGATAAACTGGTATGTTGGGAAAGCAGGAGCACGTAGATCCACATGTTAGATTGATATTTTTCCTGCCTACAGGATCAGATAACTGGCATTGAACGCTTTTTTCAAGTGTTGACATTGTGGTTTCCGTACCGATAGTTCGTGTTTTGGAGATTTCATAGCCTGAAGTCCTATTTGCCTTCTCCCCTGATCCGTCGCCATCCTTCGTTTGTTTCGGTGAAGATCCACTGCAGTGGTTTCCCATTTACATTGCACCTTGCTGTGATGAAGTGCCGACCTACATCATGCAAATGATCGATAAAAGTTTTAAAGCTTTAATGGACACATGCCTGCATGTGATAGTCACGTGTCCTCAAGGTTACTTTACGAAGTGGTGGGTTGTTGAACTCGTTCTAGCGGACCAGAACTAGATTTTAAGGGGTTTGTGAGATCAGCCCATCAAAAAGACTAGTTCATGTGAACCAGGATACACTTTCTGTTCATTCTTGGGAACATTCTCCAGGACAAAGCCATCCTAAACTCGATTTCCGAGTTGTGAAACAACCATCAGTTTTTCGCCATTGTTGCTTGTAATAAGCAGTTATTAGCGCTAAAAGACGCTTGAGCCCAAAATCTTCACACAAGAAACATAAAACTACAGCACCCCCACGGCGATCTCCTAGAATAGACACTCCTACCAAGAACGCAGTTTTCAAAACAGAAATTTTCTCCACGATAAACCTTAGGAGGACAAAATCTGACCAAATGACCAGGCAGGCAGGCAGGCAGCTGAATTAGCTACAAAGCTGTAGAATTATGTTACAAATCAAGTATGGGTTGGAGGTAGTGAAAATGCATAATACAATGCATCACTGTATACAACTCGTTCCATAACGTGGTAGATCCTGGATTCTGTTAAATTTTGAGCATGTTTAGGTAGCATAAAATACTCATTCATGACTGTACCAGTATGCTTTAATCGTGATCAGCTGCTGTACTGAATATCTGGAGCTTTCACTTCAAGTGAAGGAAACATTCCCACCGCACTACCAGTGAAGCTGCTTAACGCAACCCGAATTCGATCACTACGATTCGGAACACGAGAAGTGCACTTCGTGTGAGTTATGACTCCCGTAAGAAAGTACTCTAGAAAATTTGAGGGTGTTTACTCCAGAGTGGTATCAGTGCAGCCACGTTGAACCTGAACGGAATATAATACCCCAACTAAATCCCTTTACAGATTTGAGAAACGCGTAGTTATGAATTTCCAATCAAGATGGCACATGTTAACAGTAATTTTAGGTTTTTGAGCCTAGATGGAGTTCGTATTTCAGAACCAAATCCTCACCACCTGCAAAAGTGTCTGGATTTTACCACCCCACAATACCGCACTTCTAAGGGATTGTATCCAACGCAGAACTTCAGTACATTAAACTCGCTTGACTAGGAGGAAGTCAACTGTAAACAAAACCTCACCAAGCAAAATACTCTGGCGTCAATGTTTAAAACTGGCAGTGCTTGTGTCATTGGATGGAAACCGTTGTCCTCGTTAGATTTTCAGGTTCTCACCTTCCGCTGGAGATATTCCTTCTCTATCCGTCTACCTTCTCCATATTTTACCAGCCGTCTTTGCCCAAAGCACATAAAAGTTCTGGAGAACTATTACGATATTCTTGGGAACAGGCTATTTCAATTCCCGTGACGAAACATTTCTCTCCAAGAACTACCCTCTGGATCAGCCAAAAGCACGGTCTATTCTAAAGGTACTCAGGTATTCAGGCGTACCTCAGTACCACTGTCCCATATGGCTGAGATAGACGGTAGCCAGGAAGACACAAATGTATCGAGTTTTCTGATAACCGAAAGGGATGGTATTCCTGTGGAGGACAATTAACAGAACCATTCATAACTATTATGATTTGGATTAATCTGATGTTACTTTTGGAAGATACAGAAACGGTGGAACACCTTCAGAGTGTACTTTTGCTTGGCTCTGTTGCGATTTGTGTGAGAAAAATGCCTTTCACTTTCCAATACCGGAGAACCTTTCACTTCCTTATTACTGTCTCTGCGACTGCTACTTGAGACGTAGGTTAGGTCCAGTGCTACGCTTTCGATCGTGTGACATGTACACGAAGTGCGGTTTTTCATGAAACAAAGTAATCTCGATCGCACATCAGTACACTTTTGTTCAGCTAAAAGTACATGTATAAGATCATGTGTCAGTATTCTACAGTTGCAGTCTTGTGGATTGGCTGCACTGTGAAGCCTTGTTCTAAAGTGCATGTTTGCATTCTTTAAATTGCATTGGTCTCAAATCGACGGGTTTCAAGAGGAAACTGGTTACTGTCGGCTGATTTGAGCGGCTGGTTTTGAATGTAGAAAGGAATGTACGAATGAAAGACACTTTACCATCGGAGTGGTCAGCCTGCTCTATTGGAATCAGTCTATCCCTTGTAGCTCACTTCACTTGCTTTTCGGAGGCACATTTCAATGGGGCTATTCCCTTTAGTGGATGGCACCGTATTGCTGATTTCCGTTATTTGACCGACAACAGCTCGAATCTCAGAATATAACCAGTTAGCCGGAATTTACTGTTGGTCTCGGGTCATTTGGTGAATATGGCGCATTCAGAATTAATTTGCTTTCCAGGCATGATGTAATTCAAGTTCTAGCTTTGAAAATGCCCAGGGCTATGTCTGAAAGCTCACAAATAATACTCCACTGACCACGACAACGTGGTTTAATCCCGTCAGTCACATATGCGGTGAGTTGCTGAGTTGGGCGTTGTTTGATACTACCGGACAGGACCAATTCAACGCCAATACACTGTTTGCTCCAACCGGCTAGCCGATCCAGTATAGTATGTATCCGGAATCAGCTTTCTAAAGAGTTCATTTGCCAGCTAGTTTTACATTACATAAATTAAGTATCTCATCAGCTCTATTACAACCAAGGCGATACACCTTGCAGGAAGAGCGATAAAACCAGCAGCTTTATCTCAGAGTTTATGAACGTTGCGCGAGCCCGCACTTGACCGTCACCGCAATCGCCTACAGTCTGTATACCACCCCCAGGAGCCGAGTCTAGAAGACAAAGAATTGTGGCCTTAACAGACTAGCTACACACATTGAATTTTGTTGATAATGTTGGTATTTTCTTATCCTATTTGACTGGTCTGGCTTCGGCCACGGTCAGCCAAGCAGTGAGATGGGCTCAAACCTGAGGACTGTCTTTTATTAGCCTGCTCCCTCTCAACTGGAAGAACAGCAGTTCACGTCTACTACATAGTAGGCGTGACTCTTTCAACTGAGGGTCACATTCGAGATACTGATGATCTCTATGCACCGGTAGGACATCGATTATTTTGGCATTTACTACAACAACCAAGTTTGCATGATATCTAGTCAACTCAACTATAGGGATGATGAACATAGTCGGGTGATTGCAGACCGAAAATCGGATTAAGGATATGTCGGCTTTTTGATGGGACACCAAATGTAAACTATAAGTTAAGTTGTTCTAGTCCCCACATGGAGTATAGTCTGTAATATCAATAACGTGTACTGGAAGTAGCTAGGTGTTGAGTTTGAGTGGTCTGCTGTGCAGAGAGCGGGAGTAATCTCACCAAATTCATCAGCCCGGGACATTTAATCTCTGGGGGTCTCTGAAACAAACGCTGGAGGACTTAGCGCGTTCTGTGGTTGGGAACAATTCAGCTATTCTACCATGGCCATCAAGTAAGATAGGGTGATTGATACAGATAGTTATCCGAGGCAAGATGGATGAAAAGGAACTAAAGCGGAGAGCCAGCAACCTAACACAGGACCAACGCTGGAAGAACCGATGGATTCCCCATAGACTTGGGGCATGCACGCAATATAACTTATTGAAACACGGTAATCTGTGTAGAAATCTAAAATTTTGATAACAGTGAAGATATTCCGATAAGCCAGTGTCAGAGGCTTTTATTAACGGACCACACTAAGCGATGGTACTAATCCGGACAGCAACGGGCGCTGTCTACCATCCATATAGTCTCTCATAATTTCTGGTCAAATCTCAGTCTGATCTGAATGGCTAATAGCTCTACTCTAACCATGGATAGAACAACTACCAGTAGGTGTTTGTCATTACTAGGTGCGGATCGGTCTTTTAGCGATATCATTTTGCAAGGTCATGGACGAAACCAATCAGAATGCAACCTTATTAAGTGCACAAACAAGATTAGTTGGAGAATAAATGTATTTATGGCACTGTATAACCAGATTAAGCCATTTCTGATATCAGCTTCGGACCGTGTTCGAAATGGTAGATGTCTCATTTGATAATCTCAATCTTTTCCACTTATCTTTAGCGTGAATGTGTCAGTCTACATATTGGTCAGGCGGGAACACAGATTGGCGCCGCGTGCTGGGAGCTTTACTGTCTGGAACACGGTATTCAGCCAGATGGATGTATATCCTCTACGAAAGGGACTGAAGATGAGAGTAAATCTTTCACAACGTTCTTCAGTGAAACCGGACGAGGACACTTCGTTCCACGAGCAGTGTTTGTGGATCTCGAACCAAGCGTAGTAGACGGTTTGCGAACCGGTACTCATCGCCAGTTGTTTCATCCAGAACAAATCATTAGTGGGAAGGAAGACGCCGCGAATAACTACGCTCGCGGGCATTACACGGTAGGAAGGGAAATCATTGACCAAGTGATGGACCGCATCCGAAAACTAACGGATCAGTGTAATGGATTGCAGGGATTCCTAATTTTTCACTCTTTCGGCGGTGGTACCGGGTCAGGTTTCACGTGTTTGTTGATGGAACGTCTATCAGTGGAGTATGGAAAGAAGGCTAAGTTGCAGTTCGCTGTATATCCAGCGCCGAACATAGCTACAGCTGTGGTGGAACCCTACAATACTGTACTCGCCACGCATATGACACTAGAGCATGCAGACTGCACATTTATGGTCGACAATGAAGCCATTTATGACATTTGCCGTCGTAGTCTGACTCTTGAACGACCAACATATACCAATTTGAACCAGTTATTTAGTCAAGTAGTGAGTTCTGTTACGGCTTCACTGCGCTTCCAAGGTGCTTTGAATGTGGATCTGAACGAATTTCAGACTAACCTTGTTCCGTATCCTCGTGTTCACTTCCCTCTCTCATCTTACGCTCCAGTGATTTCAGCTGACAAGGTCCATCATGAGCAACTAAACGTGATGGAACTGACAAACACATGTTTTGAACCTGTCAACCAGATGGTTAAATGTGACCCCCGTCGCGGTAAATATATGGCATGTTGTCTACTCTATCGTGGAGACGTAATTCCCAAAGACGTGAACAACGCCCTAACGCGTGTGAAGGCTCAGAAATCAATCCAGTTTGTAGAATGGTGTCCGACTGGTTTCAAGATTGGGCTGAACTGTCAACCACCCACAGTAGTGCCGGGGAGTCAGCTGGCCCCAGTCAAACGCGCATTGTGCATGCTGAGCAACACAACGTCGATCTCGGAGGCATGGACTCGTATCGATCACAAGTTCGACTTGATGCATGCGAAGCGAGCGTTTGTCCATTGGTTTGTAGGTGAGGGCATGGAAGAAGGAGAATTTACCGAGGCGCGCGAAGACTTGGCTGCTTTGGAAAAAGACTATGATGAGGTTGCTTGTGAAAGTAATCGTGGTGATAACGATGATGTAGTGTACTAACATTACCACGTGAGAACCACGTATTTGTCCCATTTTTTGTGTTGCACGTTTATTCTCTTGTCTTACAAAAACAGAATTTTGCCTCTAAGAGCCATTCTATATGTCCTTCAGTCTTGGGGCTCGAAAGAGTTTACTCATACCTTGTCACCCATCCATTTACTTGGACGGCATTCAGATAACATTCATTGCTATGTATCGACATACCCGACCATATCAGATTGGTGTACAACGCACTTTCGGATGGACTGCTCTATCGGATACCTCACTATGGTGAGTCAACTAATGTACATTCAAATCAATTGAATGATATCATTCAGGTCGGTACAGTAAGACACAGAATCAAAATCGAACTTGTGCAAGTTGAACAAAAGCCGCTAAGTTGACTTGCTGCTGGTGTTAATTGCAAAGGATGAAGGAACGGCGTAGTTGGCTTTATCACTGAGGGCAATATGATGGTTGAATGATCCACAGGAGCGAGGGGAAGGTGATAAACGGCATAGATAAAGAGGTAGGGTTTGAATAAACTGCCTAGTTTCCAGCACCATATTTGCTTCGTAATGACTTCAGACATTATCAAACATTTTGTTGTTATCGCTGTGGCTGCCGATGTATATTTTCACCTTTATTGGTGTCTATCGATTTGCACCTCATGCCACCATATAAATGGACTCAGGATGTCTAGTTATAACAAATGTTTGAATGCACTCTGGATTATTTGGAACCCTGAATTACCTGAAATAGGCTACTATGTCACATTAAACCTGTGGATGGACAACACGTCATTCTAGAGAACAAAATTCGAGAAACATATATTAAAAACAGCTAGGGCTGATCACGTCTAGGTCACAATAGACTATCTTATTTCGAAAACTTCAGCATGAGAATCGCCGCTACAATGTTAGATTTATTCCCAGATCAAGTAAAAGTGTTTCCTCAGTGTTAAAAGACTCTCCTCCCGAATGAGAAGAACCAACAGAGTTCGTACATATTTAGGCTGCTTGGTGAGCCAGTTCGAAATTTCGCGACAAAATCTAGCTAACTTTCTCAACCGCTCCTGATCAATTTATCCCCGATGTAACTGTAGTTATAGAGGGTGAGGAACAAGATACCTGTTAAATAAAACGAAAAGAAGAGCGCATTTTGGGCGCCACGAAACGGAACAATTTTGAGATCATAACGCACTCACTTTATCCAGATTAATCGGAATGATGGAAATTTCCCCAGGTTAAATAAAACGAAAAGAAGAGCGCATTTTGGGCGCCACGAAACGGAACAATTTTGAGATCATAACGCACTCACTTTATCCAGATTAATCGGATGGAAAGAAATTTCCCCAGGAAGAATCAGGGGTTTCGAAAGCTGTCCAAACCGAATTCGACCCAGATTTTTGGTGAGTAAGCAAACTAACATCCAATAAAAGACTCACCGCACTAACCCAGTTAGGGAGGAGTTTAAGTAAACTTGGACAGCTTGAAACGACGAGGTCTGCCGTACAAGCTATCTTGTTTAGCACGATAGGATAGGATGATATTCCTTGCTTGTAGAAAAAGGCTTTTTAACCGTTTGATTACGTGTTGCAGTTTACGAGGCCAGAGTTGTCCAAACAGAGATATGCTGAACCTATAATTTTCTTACAAAAGTGTGATTACGCATACAAGTACGAAAAGCGTACAATAGACCTCGTCAATAAAGTAATCGGTCTAGCCTAGCAGTTGAGTCTCGGTTTAGTAGCAAAAGACCTATCAAGCCAGAAGCAGTTGTAACAAGTGCTTCATACAGGATACAGTTCTCTCTCTCTCTCACGAGTGGCCAGGGTGATTTTCAAATTCGGGTGCTTTCACAGAAACATGAAGACTACGACGACGCTCAGTCTTTGCAGAAACGTTTGAAACTAAAATAAGCGTTCAGAGGGGTACTCAAAAGCAGCCAATTTAGATCCTCACCCTTCCATTCCAACGTGGCCTTAAGAAGAGGTCTTCGCCAAACGTAATGGCGTTCGGGATCAGGAGGAGCTAGTCAAAGGGTGAGTACGATTGTTCACCTGTACTTACACTTCATCCCCTAATATAATACACGAAGCAGCTTATTTGCTGTGAACTTCTCCGACAAATTAACAATGAAATTTAGATTGATGATGTATGTATGGATAGTATATCCCGATGTAATCTTGAGCACGGTCGAATCATAGCATAACGAGTCACATGACGGAGGCACAAATAATCAAGACAACCATTTGACCAGAAAATACAACTAAATTCATCGATTTCCACCATAACAAATCTTTCGACTAGGATGTTGAGCAACTTTCGTGAAATCTATTTTTCAAATTTTGTTTATTTCCGAAGAAAAGCAGTTCTGAATGGTTGCAGGGTATGGAGGACAAGACCATTCGCATAAATTCGTATTCGTACCTCCAACACGCTTAGGATATACTCTCTTTTATATCTGCTGGTGTCCCTGCTCCAGTGCCTATTGCCATAAAACAAGACTCACAGACAAGGAACCCACAGCTTTATTGCAACTAACGAACGCGTGAGAATGCAAAATTTACAACGGCCTTGCACTATTTAAAGGCCACTTTTTGAGATTGATTCAGGCTGTCTGATAGACGTTTAGTGAACACTCTCAAATCGACATTTAAAGGCCACTTTTTGAGATTGATTCAGGCTGTCTGATAGACGTTTAGTGAACACTCATCAAATCGACCGTGCTTCTATGAAATGCTTGATTACTGAACATAGTCGGTCGTGTTTCTGTGTCGTACCTGGACACCCATTGGCCTTTACTGAATTGATGGACTGATTGGCTTACGTGCTTTCCCGACTGCCCTATTGATATTTTGATGGGGTTTTGGGGTCTCAGTAGGCTCTGGGCGTTCTGGCACCCTTGAACTGTGAGTTGGACAGTCCGTGCTATTTTTAAAGGGCACTTTGGCACGCTGGGTTTTGCGCGATGACCTGGTGATATTACCAGGTTTCAGAAGTCGAAGAAACTCCAGTCTTACATGTTGGGAAGTATAAATCAGCTTTCTGCGTCCCATTCGCAATCGCCAAATAGTTTCCCCCATCTGTAAAGTTTGCACCTAAGGCAGTCACATACACATCAATGCTCGACTGCTGAAATCTTGTTCCCGTTTCCGCGGTTGTTGTCAGTGTTGCGAGAACTACGGTCTACGTCACAGAGACTGATGACCGAGGCGGTAGAAATCGCCAAGCATCCCAGTGTTAACAGACTAGAAGGCGTGGAACTGGCAAGACTGTGGAGAACTGTTCTGGATCAGTCGAGCTGACACGTGTCGGTGTGCGGTCGTCAGAAGGAGGAGTAGCCATCATCTGAATTCCACTTGCCCTCAATCCCCCCCAGCTAAATTGTCGCAACACTCACAAACCCACAAAGACCCAGAAATCTATCAGCGGCAACCGCGGCGAATCATCAACTGAAGCACCTTGAAGTGGAAGATAAAGGAGCCAAACCGGATCAGAATTATTTGAGCTCCCCCCTCCAATCTACCAACACAAGATTTTGACATCCACACTAACCGACAACAGCCGTTAATTGACACTCGAAACTGATCTAGGGCACTAATATGAAGAGGTCTATCTGAATAGTTCTGTCTGCCTTAAAACCTCCAACTTGGTGACCTGTTCACTTGGCCTGATGAAGCTTTTGTATCTAAAGCGAAACGTTGCCCAAATAAAAAACTACCGATTGTTTACCAAGCCCTTGTGAAACGTAAAGCGAAATTATTTTTTTAGATTTTCCATGTTGAGCAGACCACAAGCATATTCGTGATTGCCTGATAACGAAGGACAAAAGACGCTTCTCCTGTTACATGAATAAATCAACTGTACCGTCTGATTGGCTACACAGTCAGTTTCACTTTACCAAGATGAAAAGCAGGCCACATACGAGTGACCTACGCTCGAAGTGAGTGAACAGGTAATTTTCCTGTTCTTGGCCCACATCTTGGCACCAGCTCCGATTTGTCTAGAGACAATCAGCAATTATTTCTACTGTTTCGGTAACCAGCACCCGTCAGTGCTCCTGTTTACGGGGAATCAGCGCCTCATCTTATGTTTTGGAAATCACGCGGACACACACTAGTTCAACCCTGACTTCATACTTTCGTGTGAGCAAAGGTCTGTCAGCGTCCAGTTCTTCTCTGCGTATCGATAAACAGGTCACTTAACCTTGCGGATATCTAGGTTGTCAACGAGGAGTTATTCACAGCTTGGGTAAAGCGTTCTTCAGCGGTAAGTCACGTAGCCAAGACCTATGTGTGCGCGGATGCCATGCCCTTCGGCTCTTTGTTTCACACAGTGTTTGTTCTATGTCAGTGCGCACTTACTGTAGTGTTTTGACTCACATCGTTGCTCCTGGGTTGGATGTGATCTATGCCGAATATTCTTAAGAAATCAGAAATGCCGGACTGATGACCACCCAAGCAGATTCTTGCTCAGATTTTCTAGTTGGTGTGACTCCATACTCTCCATGTAAATCCGTCCGATAGTCTAAATGGATGTTCAGGTTGCCAGAAGGTCTAATAGCTTTAGATGCAAGCTGATGGCATTGAGATCCTCAGACACAATCACTTATCGCAAAAACATTGCACAGATTCTCTTACAGTGGACACTGGCTTGAATTCCACTCGGTTCTATTGGATGAAGACCCCATAGCCAGTGGTGACAGTCAGCATCGTGTGTGAATAATGACATATCACTATCTACAAAAAGCTGCAGCACATTGGTGCTAGAAGGATACTGCATACTAGGCCTATACTCATAAACGATCAAGTTGGTAGCACAAACTGTAGGACAGAACAATCAAGCGAACACACGAGAGAAATAAAAGGCAAAACAAGTTAGCCTCTATCACGCAACCCATTCACACATGCTATTCTAACGAAGGTATACTGTTTCGTTAGCCATTGTTACTAACTCCGAAGCGTGCTCAGGCGTCAAAGTCCTACATTGATAGCTTTCTAATAAAGGTAACACAATTCCCCGAGTGTCTCATCTTGGGCACAGCTGAACCAGTACGTGGAACGGAAGTTGCTCTCATAAAATCACCTCAACACAACAAAGCTAGTACCAGGTAAGGCAGATCAATGAAGCTAACTGAGCAGAATGGCCTGCAACCATTCTGACCCAATGACCCGTTAGTGTGCGGAAATCAATGACTGACCTGGTCTTTTGGTCAAACAGCGGAAAATTTAAACATTGTACCTGGGTTACCTGAAATGTCAACCAGACGATAACGACTAATGTGCG